AATCACTGGTAACCCACGCACTCTTCCGGCGAAGCACTTGCAATTGGGTCTTCGGCAAGCACTTGAAGGCCTTCACTACCTTGCTGCTCAGCCTGGTGCCATTGCTCACAAGAAAGTGGGGTAGTGCTGGTTGAATTCCTGTATTTGAAGCAATAACAGCGCAGTACGTAAAAGTACCTCGCCTGCCGGCAGGCTGGATTTTGGCGTGGGGCACGGCTGGGAGGCCGGAGCCCTTGTACTGCTTGCGGTTGATCACACAACCAATAGCAGGTCGTGCAGTGTAGGGCACACTTGTTTCATCCACATTGAGATACAAAATCTCACGACCATCACAAGCCTCTGGACCACGCTGAAACGCCAGCATCTTCCAGAAGCATTTCACCTCCGAGCCATTCATTCTAATTCAAAGCACACCCTCAAAAAAGAATCCGGGGCCAAAAACTGTCCCCAAAGCTGCCTCGCAACCGAAAACAATTTTTCACAAGGCGGACCTTGTTTCAGGTCCATTTTTCGGTCCCATTTTTGGCCCCTTGGTTTGACCGGTTTGACCACCTATACTGACACCACTCGAAGCACCTTTGCCCGCAAGCTCGGTGCATCTGCTGGAATGGCCATGGGCAAGGCCGCCCTTCGGATGCCAAAGCGTTTTCGCCAACCAGCAGCCCACTTCTTGATATAGTCGCGGCTTGGGAGTACCTCCGGTAAACCGCCCGAGCGTGTCTGCGCAAAATGCGCAAAAACCTCAGCCGAAGTTGGCGCGACACCATGGAGACTGTTTTGCGAGTGGACATAGTCCACCGTCTTCACCTCTGCCACAAAGCGAACGGCCACATTTCTGGCTTTTGTCCAATCATCATCGTCACTGTGCAGCCGCAGGAGCTCTCCAAGGTTTGTCTCTCGAAACAGAGATTGGACCAATGGTTCTGACGGAAACTGGGGGGGAAGATCTCTCCAAGTCGCTGAGTTGCTGCGCAAGCTTGGTGGCAATGGCGCTGTTGTAGTTTGACAAGCAATAGCAAGCAAGTACTGCCTTTTGTCCTGCTGAAGTCAAGCCTAAATTACCACGTTTGGCCGCCCACCTCGCCACACGCTGCCGGCACTGCGCCAGCTCACGCCTGTTTTCTTGCAACAGCAGCTGCAACTGCTGCACTCTGGCTCTCTTTGCGCACGGTGATTCTGCCAGCGACATGCTCTTCCCCACCGGGGCACATATACAAACGCGGGAGTGCGCTGCGCCAGTAGCTGGACCGTTGGCAAATTGTCTTTGGCCGAGAAGGTCTGCGGAACAACGAAATTGGTCAAGGCACGGGAAACATGGAGCATTCCATAACGTGATTGGCTGCTGCGCACGAGTGCAAACATACAACGTGTGTTATATTGTATGAGTTTGTGACACTGCCAAGCTTCGAGACAGACTCTATGAAAAGGAAATGACTGCTCAGAAGGCAA